TGCCAGGTGGGGCTGAACAGGTGAGATGTTGCTGTTCAGCAGGTCAGTGAGAAATGTACGAATGTGAGAAAGGAAGATAATTGTGTGTCTGTTGATTTGGAGAAAGTGTATGATGAAGTGGATAGGACTGAATTACAGGATGATTTGTGTGAATATGGAGTTGCTGAATATGGTAAGAATAGTAGCAATGGACGCAAAACATTCAGACAAGTCCAGTTTACATATCAAATGGCAATGTATGAAGGGGTTTATGGAGGCAAGGATGGCTTGCAAGGATGGTACAACATAGTGAATGGTTTGGTATAAACTAAATGTAGCTGTATTTCCTTATATATTTCCTTATCTCATGGCTTACTTCCTTTCGATTATTATGTCTTATTCCCTTTCTATATTTTGCATAACATTGCTGACCATGAAAGGGAATTGTGTGATGGACATGTATGGATGCTGAGTGAGATGAAGTCTGCACTTGGAGCCTGATCTGTTTGTTTGCTTAAAAGTAATTTAGATACTACCTTTCAATCAGGATTTCTGGACCTTATCATTTATGACTAGGAGATTAGGGATTTCTGACTAAGGTTGCACAAAGTATCTTACATTCAAAACATTTCAAGCTCAAAATAATTTATTTTTGTGTTTAAAACAATGATTTCTAATTCAAATCAGATGGTTTTGACTACTCTAGACATGCCTTCATTTCAAACTCAAATGTGCAACACTTCCAGAACAGATGGAATAATCAAGAAACAGAAGGTTTTGAGACTGACAACTCAAATTTAAAAGATTTTGTACACCCTCTTTCTGACTCATTCTAACAAGCAAGCAATTCACAGGTATGTTTAAAGTAATGTACAGGCATATACTGTATGTAACTACAGGTAGTCCTCACTTAAGAACCACAGTTGGGACCGGCAACTCTGTCGCTAAGCAACATGGTTGTTAAGTGAGACATCATATGACTGCAATGGACTCACAACCTCACTTCCATTGTTAAGTGAATGATCCACAATCGTTAAGCGAGACATCATGTGACTGCAACTTGCAATTTTACTGCTGACTTCTCCATTGACTCTGCTTGTCGGAAGTCAGCTGTGAAGTGCACAAATGGCTGTCATGTGACTGCAGGACGCTGCAACGGTTGTAAGTGCAAGGACCGGTCATAAAGTTACTTTTTCAGTGCTGTTGTAACTTTGAACGGCAGTCATTAAGTGTAGACTACTTCTACTCAGAAGCTTAGGATAACTAATGTGCACTTGCAGAGGTCTACATTTTGCTTGGCCCTGCAAGTGCTTCATCCCCCTCTTGCAAATGATGATGAAAATAACTTCTGTGATTTAGAGGAATTACAGAGCAACTGGGCTTAGGGAAGGAATCATCCTGCTATGCTCAGCTTCAGAGATTGCCTTCTGTAAGCCAGAGAGGAAGAATGGACAATTAAGCTACCTGACTCACCAGCATCCAAATATATTTCAGATATTTTTTTTTCCTCTGGCTCTAGAAGACAAGGATAGGACTGCCCATTCTGGTGGTGGCTTAATCCTGCATTCTGTCTCTTGATATGTATAAGAGCTGTCTTGAAAAGAAAGTGATGACTACAAAGCTATTCCAATTATATTCAATAAAAATGCAATAAAAATGTCTTACTGGCCTTCTTAATTTACTTACAGGAATAAAAAGGTATTGTAAATCCCCCAAATGTTTCATATGAAATCAAGCTGATAGGTTAAGAAGATACCCCAGGCTAAATGTTCCTTCCCTTCTCCCCCACCTGAGAAAGGGAATAATGCTGCAATCCTGTGTTAGCATAATTAGCCCTGCTGAGTTTGATGGTACTTACTCCTGTGTAAAAGTACTGATCAATCAAGGAAATAAATGGAGAAGCAGAACTAAAGGGCACCATCATCCATTTATTTAAGTAGGTAATAAGAGTTATATTTATCTCAGTTTGTCATATTTTAAAAACTAGTTAGAAATATCACCTTGGTTCAGTGAGTAGCTTGAAACTGTTTTATTAAATTTGCTATACTTATAAAACACAGTAACTTATTAAAAGCAGTAATTGGGGATTTGTCACAAAATGGCAAACGAGAATAAATGTGAATAAATGATGCAAACTGAGGCCAAGTGAATTCTAAGAAAATATATGTGTTGTCTGAGTCTGAATTAGCTGTGATTGCTAAGGAAATGGATTTAGGGAAGGACATAGATGAATGCTTACTGAAAATGTCAACCCAATGAAAAAGGCAATGTTAGGAATTACCAGGAAGGGACTGAAATTAAACTTGCCAGTCATAATGCTTTCATAGAAATTTATGATGCTGCATGTAGGATATCATCAGACTGTAGAGTCCTTCAGATTTAAGGGGAAACGGTGTTTCAAAGCATTGACAACTCCTTAAACTAAGCCATTCTGGTCAGAGATGCAGCTGCTTTAAGGAGTTGCTGGCATATTCTACATAATAGCCCCCATGTGCCCCAAAGCAACTTTTTCACCTTCAAAGCCCAAGTCTCAAGCCCTAGAATATCGTGCATGGTTCTAGTTGTCCTATTGCAAAAAGACTGTCATGCCAGCGCAAATTCTACATAAAATGAGCATATAATAAAGATATGGTTTGAAATTGTTTGTCCTCTTTTTCTAGACTTGAACCTGGGATCATCCAAGGATCTGCAATATATTTGGGACAAAGGGTAACTTTCTTTACACAGTGCATATTAACTTGTGGACTCACTGCCACACTGAAAATCAGTAGTTTAGATGACTTAGAAAGAGAGTCTGCCATATCTGTCAGTGGGCAATGGAAGCTCCATTTTCAGATGTATCATTTTTTTGCATACTATATGCTAAGGAAGGACTATAACCTTTAAGTCAAGTTTACATGCTTCCTTGAAACATCAGACTGAAAATACAATATGGGACTACACTGACCCTCAGCCAGACCTGTTTCAGAGGTACAGATAAGGTTAGAATCACTGTTTTCCTCCTCACTTCTCAATCCCTGTTGTATCTTCTAAATTATAAACCTAAAGGCAAGAATAGTTGCATTATCTTTTGTTATCTGCTCTGAGAGTTTTTTAGAGGAAGAGATGGATAAAAGTAATTTGAATGAATGAATGAATGAATGAATGAATGAATGAATGAATGAACTATAGTGTTCACATGCCTTTCTCAGTGTTTGTTTTTCACAACAAACAAACAAACCATAGAGATTGTGGTATGTTGCCATTAGCATATAGAAGGTGAAGATTCATTGGCTATTGATTAATGAAAAATATTTAGGGAAAAAATGTTGCAAAGAAATAATGAAGATATAGCTAGATAGATGATACAGAGAGACAGAGATAGAAATAGATGATATAGATACAGATATATAGATTGGTGCCTTCGAGTCAGTGTTGACTCCTGCTGACTGCCAAGACAAGTCCCTGTAGTTTTCTTGGCAAGATTTCAGAAGTGGCTTGCCCTTGCCTCCTTCCTAGGGCTGAGAGAGGGTGATTGCCCCCACGCCACCCAGGTGGCT